GGGGGGGGGGGGGGGGCGGGGAACAAAACAAAACTAACCAGGGGACTAGTTAACTTCTTGCACTGGGGCCAAAAGACATCCCAAGAGATCCCCATCCCACCCTGTCTTTCCCAAACTTTCCCACCGAGGGAAACAAGGAAACAAACAATTGCCACCAAATGTAAAGAAGCGACTCGCAGAAACAAACCGGGGCGGGTGATTTCATCCAAACCCTCAGCAGCGGCTTAACAGGGAGGTCCCGGAGGGTTTGTGAATCGTCCCTGCCCGGTGAGCGTTTCCCGGGCGGTGGAGGGGAAGGAGCGCGGCAGCGGCGGAGCTCCTGGCGGAACATCTCCAGATGTTCCAGATGTGCCCGGTGGACCCCCTCCAGATGTTGCACCAGGAGAACTCGCTCCTCGGGACCAGCCGGGCGCCTGCTCGCTCCCCGGGCGGCAGTAGGTGTCCTCACACTTGGACGTGCTGTTTTCTGCTCATGCGGAGGCAGCGCCGGGTCCCGGCTTCCCGGCCGAGTCGGAGCCTCGGAGAAGACCCGCCGCCTGCCCCAGGGGCGCCTGGGTGGCCCGGTCCTGGACTCAGGGCAGCGGCCGGACCTCTCCCGAGGGGACAGACTGACATTAGTGGCAGGGGAGGCTTGTCCAGGAGGCACAGCCCAGCTTTGGAGGGGGAGTGAAAAAGGCGAAGGGGGTGGTGGGGGAGGGGGGTTAGTAAGCACTTGGCTGCTGCTTCTGAGATCCGAGTGCCTGGAGGCCTCGAAGCCGATGACTCCCCCTTTGATACACAGGGGCAGGTTTTCCAGGTGTCAAGCTGGCTAAGTGTTTCCCTCCTCCTCCCTCTCAGACCCGACCGGGCTTGCTCTGTGCCTGGCCGGAGCAGAGCGGGTGAGAAAGCCGGAGCCCTGCAGGGAACTTGAAAGCCGGGGGCTGTAATGGGCAGACTGGGGGAGAGAAGCAGCAGGAAGCAACCCCCCCACCCCCCTCCCCGGGGGAAGTGTGCCCGTCCTTCTTGCCCCGAGGATGGCTGCTGCCTTCGCATGTGCTGCTGTCCCTGTGGTTTCACGTCCCCTCCCAATAGGCAGCCGCCCGGCCAGCACACCGAGCCGCGGACGCTGCCATTGATGCTCAGGTGAGGGCTGGGACCATGCCCATCCTCCCCGAACAATTTCCCTGCACATCTGCCCTGCGCCCCGGGTCCCTGTCTGCAGTCAGCTCGCGTCCCGCACCCTCCAGCCTCCAAGGCGGAGCCCGCCACTGCTCGCTCAGCAGCCAGCCACGGCTGGGGAGTTTCCTTGAAATCAATTTCCCCCTAGTGTCCGAGCTAATACCCAAGACATATCCAAGGTAGACTTCTTCCCGGGACACCCGTGTCTTCCCCATCATTTGAAATCTCTGGAGTGCTCCGAGACCTGAGTTGCACGCAGGGCGATTGCTCTTCTCAGCTCTGGCCAGCCCCTTACAGTTTCCAGAGGGTTCAAATCCTTTCGCTTTTCAAGCTTTGAGGTGTTGGGTTGTTTTTTGGGGGGGGGGGTTGGTTTTGTTTTTACATCCGAAAGAAAGAAGGAAAATCAATATATTTCTAACCACGTGGGTGACATACGTGCTAAGTTTTTCTTGTCACTGGCCACATCAGCAACTAGTGCAAGATTAGTCAGGAAAAAAAATTAACGGCATTAAAACTTCTGGTTTATAAATCTAGCCACAAACCAGAGTGACTGATGGCTTCTTTCTCTCTTTCACACAACACGAGGCTATGCCCAAGTATAGATGAAGGAAACAAATGGCAGTTAGAAAAGATTTTTATAGCAGTCTACAATTTAGATTGATTGAATGATCAAACCATTATTAGCCCCGTTGGAATATGCTAATATAATAAAGCCTCCCCCCAGCCAGTAGACCTTTTTTATTTAAACATAACATAAATTATGGCCTTCTATAGAAAGCTTAAAAGAGGATTTTCTTTTTTTTCTTAATTTTTGCAGGGCAAGAGCATTTCCTGAAATTTGTAACCATCCCTACTTGTTGGGTGTCTGCGTGTGTATGTGTAAAGCAGTGTTTCATACTCTTATATACTCATATATTGTGTATTAAGTACTCACAAACAACTGGTAGACTTTCTAATGTGTGGATTAGGAAACCATTTTTAACAATTTAGCAACCTGGTCTTGGACAGAATTAAGAAGGGGATTGAAGACCTGATCTTGTTTCTATTTTAATGAATAGCAAAACTTCCACTGACATTAGTAAGATCAGAATTAGGCCCTAGG